TTTGAATGAAGGCGATACTTTTTTAAATTTTCTCATACTTTTTTTTCGTAAAGCGTAAAATGAAGTTAACATGAAAAGCGATTGTTGCATAGTGACTAGGCATACAATACAACGGTAAAGGTTACCATGACCGTTTTACCGGTCCCCCTTTATCGGTTTTACCCTTATCGCTTTACCGATCTTATCGGTATTAGCGTCATCGGCTGAACGTTCGTTATGAATGCATAAGAAAATTTATTCGAAGATGAGATTATATAGAGTGTATTGATGTCGATATTTTAACGGTATTGATTCCTTCTTTGGCGTTTCTTTCTATGAGAGAACCAGCCGACTTTTTTCTCCTGTTTCTTGCAAGCGTCTTCTCTCCCGACATTTCAAAGAAGAATCCTGTTAGAGTGGCCGGTCCCAATTAGAACACGGGAATTTTAGTGTGGAGTATTTTTTTAATTTTTTAAAAGCAAACATGTAGAAATGTTCCTTTATCACGAAGAACACGTTCTGTGTATTAGTTTTGGATTGTAAACTCTTCCTTTTAAACTTTTATTAACAAAAATTATTTTACAAAATTTTGTTAATAAAAATTTAAAAGGAAGAGTTTAGAATCCAAAACTAATTCAATGTCCTTCCAAACTATCACACAGGTTCTGTGTATGACAGGTCATTCAGTTTTCTCTATGACGCATATGAAGGTGGAAACTTGATCTGTTTTTAATAAAACTAGTATTACGCGATTCTTCGTGATGAAGGAGCGTTTCTACATATTTGCTTTTAAAAAATTAAAAAAATACTCTACACTTAAGTTCCTCTGTTCTGATTGCGGCCGATCACTCTACTCTAACAGGATTCTTGTCTGTAATGTCAAGAGAAGCTCGCACGAAACAGGACAAGAAAGTCGACTAGTGCTCGCATATAAATTTTCTTATATTGTTTCTTTTTTCATTATGTGCAGTGATAGACTGTGTATATCATATCTGAATGCTGGGAAAAGAATGAAAACACCATTTCTGCTCTACTCTATTGACTCTTTAAGCCGATAAAATATAGAAAGAAAAGTCAAAGAAGAATCAAAACCGTTAAAATATGGACATCAATACACTCTACATAATCTCACTTTCGAATAACTTTTCTTATGCATTCATAACGAACGTTGAACCGGAAAGATACGGTAAAATAGTGAAGCTAATACCGATAAGCTCGGCAAAGCGGTAACGATAACCTTTACCGTTGTATTGTATGCCTAGTCACCATGCAATAACCACTTTGTATGTTAACTTCATTTTACACTTTACGTAAGTAAGCTGAACTCTTACGTCTAATTAATATTTCGATTATTCGAAATCAGTGCATGCCTAATATAAGTGCTGTGATTTTTACGTATTGGGTGTCAAATGACTATACAAGAATCTACTGGAAATATGGTATTGAAGAGAGCGCTAGAATTGTCGTCAAACTAACCAATAACAACTTGCTTTCTCGATGGCCCATCGTCAAGATAGAGGTTTAGAATGATCTTGCTGTGCGTTTGGACCACTTTTATAGTTTAAAAAATGCGAAGGTGTAACACAAACGATCACTGGTGATAGTACAAATTTATTAATAAAAAGCTTTTGGTCAATTCAAATCCGAAGGACTCTACTGTTGGAAATTTATAAAAGATTTAAATGCAAATTCGAATCGTGGTCTTTACTGTTTGGAAATTCATTAGAAAAATATTTTAACATTCGAACTCAATGTCACTCTTAGAAAATAGTGTTTTACCGAATCCTAAAAGTTGCGCATTTGTGTATGACGCTTTTTTGTGTTCCTTAGTACGAAAAAAACTTTTTATCTTTTCTGCTAAACCTTCTAAAGGTTCCGGTGTCGCATTTAAAGGTTTCGTAAAAAGCCTTCTTGTCTAGAGTGTGGGAGACTTAACTATCGAAAGTTTACCAAAAACAATTTTAATTCGAATTCGATTTGAAATGTTTTTTTATGAATTTCCATCAATATAGTCACTCGGCTCAAACCTGAATTGACCAAAGCTTTTTTAAATAAATTCCCAACAGTGAAGTCTGTCTGCTTCGAATTCGAACCAGACTCTTGGACCCTGATTTATATTGGAATTCGAATTAGATAGCTCATGGGACTAACGTAAGTTCGCCTTATATTTGCAAGCTGGAAGGCAAACAAAAACAATTGCTTTCGAAACTGCTATCAGAATTCGTAAAGAATATATTTTCTAGCTTCACTGAAAAATTCATACTCAAGCAATACTTTTTTTAATATGTCGCTAAGATACGAAAAAAATATCCCTGGCGCATAAATGCTGTGGAAGTAAAAAATTTGCTTGCCCTATAGATGAGGTCGCACTTTCGATACTAAAACAAAACTCACATGCATGCTTCTTGTTTCGATTTCCTTACCTTGTGGTGGTAGATTGTGTGCGAAAGAATTGACAGTTGACGGAGGAAGAACTTTCGGGTCTTTAATTACATTTTTCGGAGGCGTCTGCGTTGCTTCTTCGTCGATAGGCATAGCCTGAGTATTCAGTGCTCTATCAGACAGTTTGCGAAGGCGTGAGTCAATTTTTCCGGCGTTTCTTGTTGTTGCTGGAAAGGTTGATAATGAATGTTTGGCTGTACATCGACTGCGACTCCTTTTTTCCTTCATTCTCCTTTTTTTTGGAAGAAACCATAAAAGGAGTTGGCGGTCGACATCATGACTAACTGTTTCGCACAGCGAAACGCGACAGCCAGCGTTACTATTTTCTTCTTCATTCCTTGTCGCTTGAAAAATGCAAGAGAAAAAAAGTACGAGTATAAATTCGAGTATAAACAGAAGTATAAACAGAAAAGGTGAGTGAAGGGAGTAGGAGTAGCAAGAACATTTACATTCTCAACTTGCGAAAAGATGTTGTTAAGCCGCGAGGAGCGACGACAAGATGCATTGTCCGTTCATACTTTGATGCCCAGTGAAGTGACTACAGATGAACAAGAAGCGACATTTCTCTATTCTCAAATACTCTCTGAAATATTTATCAATATCAAGTATGAAAAGGCCGAAGACGTCGAAGTCGGTCTTCATGAAACAGCTGCAGAATTACGCGATTTGTATGCGAAGAATCAGAGTGAGATTGAAAAGATCAATCTATTTGAACGGACATACACGAGTAAGACGCCAGTCAAATGGTACACAGGCGATAGTGCCGTCTATCGCGTGGTCAACGAAGCACTTCGAGAACAAAAGACGGAGACACTCTACAATGTACGATATTACATCAAAGATTTGCATCGCCAATTGACACAAATGCATAAACAATGGAAATCGTCCTTATCAGAGAGACAAATAACTCTTTATCGAGGTACCGTATGGCCAGAAAGTCAATTCGAGAAACAATTGCGCAGCAACATTGGTGGACTTTTGTCATTCAGCAGCTTCACTTCGACAAGTCTAGATCGAACGCTCTGTGATGTAATCTATGGCAATTGTAGTGGACAATTGGGTAAAAGTGGTATTGTCTTTGAAGTCAAAGTGGATTTAGACACCTGTCAATGGCCTTGTGCAAATATTACAAGCGAAAGTCATTATGGAGATGCCGAACAAGAAATTCTTTTTACAATGGGCACCGTGTTTCGCATTGTTTCAGTGGAACCGAAGCAAGAAAAAGGTACGTTTAAGTTCTCTCTCGAGCCTCACTGCGTTTTTTTCCCGATGCTCTTATATAAGACCCAAAGTTCAGACTGTCGTCTCTTTGAAACAGAACGTCATTTCGCTTAAGCAACGTGTCGATCTGATGTTTATGTCACAACGGAGACAAAGCGACAGTCATTGACCTATTTAAAAAGAAGTTTTAAGCCGATGGGCGTATTAATTAGTGAGTTTTGACGAAATCCATTATGAAAATGAGCATCCTCTGGAGATGTCGACAGTCAAAAATACTGAATGTACTCGTGCGGGCAAGTG